TCCGAGAATAGCAAGCCGGAACTCATTTAGCACACAGGAACTTTGAAGCCAAAAACCTGTACTGGAAGTTTAGCTGTGAATGAAATGAAAGGAGATTGACGAAGGAACACAAGAACACGAGACGACGACAATTATTGGAAACGCTAACCTTCAACTCAAGCGACATTCCGTTCCATAAACTTAATAAATCAGAAAAGAAAAAAAGAAAACCTTTTCAGACGAGTTAAATTACCAGTAATCTGACTGATAATCAACTCTTGTTTCAATTCCAATCGCTAAGATAGACCAAGGTTATCATGAGGAATGAATGGGTATGGAAAAAAAGTCGAACAAACTTAACAGAAGCTGTTAAATGCGATTTGATTGGATGGTGGTTCTTAGTAACATAAAAAAATAGTGACACACATGGATCTAAAGCGATAAAACAACGTTCCTTAGAGATCCTCGTCCAGTCTCAGAAAAAAGGACCCTCAAGCCCATGACAAAATGAAGTTAGCTGTCGGCATCGATGGAACTTCCAAGTGCAAGAAAACCCTGCGGGACTACGCATAAGCCTATGGAGACAGAGGAAGAAGAACAACTCGTACAACCTCTCAACTCGTCCGGGGCCTAAACACACCGACGCGGACGGCTTTGAGTGTAACCGACATATTTTCGATAGCTGGAGGGATTGGGTTGAGAACATCAGAAATCGATACAAAAGGCTTTGGTTTATCGATCTAGAAGCATATATGCTACTACTTCCTACATTTTCTCATAGTTCACCATCGAAACAGTTCTACTCAGTGCTTGCAATATTGACATTGATAACATTGATATTGAGGCTGCATATATCTTCTATCAGACCGTCCTACATCATAACCCACTATAAAAATTGAAAATTGGAGAAGTGCTAGTTACCTGGTAAGAAATGCTGTAGGCCATATATGAGGGGCTATATCGGTTTTATAATATCTGTAGATAATGTTCACTAACTAGAGGACTTACGAAGTTGATAAATTGACAGAGTGTTGGAAAAGACTTTGCTCCATCACTCTAACGAAAAGCGGTAGCTCTTTTGAACTGTGCTCTTCATTTAAACCTTATTTGAAAGTCGGACTTCCAAAAAATTGCTCTTTATGATGGCAGAACAACAAAGCTCGTCTCTTCTTGGCGAAGCTCTCTAATCAAGTAACGGAAGTTCACTATGAGCTGAAATATTTAAATAGGCTCAGAAATTGGTGACAGCAATGAGTTGGTGGAATTTTCAATAATATGTCAATAATAATATGTCCGAGAAATCAGATGCATTTTTCTACTACTCTTGACGACTTTTCTAGAAGTTCGGAGTAGATAAGGCCTCTCGTGTAAGATGTCGTCTCTAGAGATTCAGGGCTTTTAAGGCCACTCGTGTAAGGTATCATCCCATACTTCGTCCACTCTTTCGGTCTATTTCCTGCCGCTCTTTCCTACCCACCTCCAACTCGGTGGCATCAACTTTCCTATCCGATCCCTCTGGGATGAGAGACTTGGTGTGCCCCAGGTGGGATCGAACCAGAACCACAATCGTGGTGACCGGCATCACTACCACTATGCCATCCGTGTCCCAGCTAACACGCAGAAGTAAGGATACAATACAGTGTTCAAGCAGTGTTCTAGAGTTGACTACGCCAACAAAATCCTGATGCATACTGCTAGCAATCCTTGTACATTTGGAGATGTGGAGCACGATGTAATGATGAGGACAATATGCAGTTTACTACGTGGAAGAAGGCATCTCTACGCTGATAGCCCGTACGCAAATCTTCCTTTAGCGAATCATGTAATGAGAAAGACCCATCTTTAGAAAAAAGGAAATCGGCTACGTAAGTGAGTTATACATCGGAAACTGAACAAAGGACAGTGGATAGCCAACAGGGAACACACTCCATCGCTCGATATTATTATATATTTATTACGTTAATTGTATGTTGTTCCTCGCAGACTATTGTCACCTCATATGTTAAGGAAACATTCCATTTCTAAGTCCCGTCAGATGCCAAATCGATCATTCATCTAGCAACTTCATAATGGCAGTGCACACTTCTAACGCTTCATATTATGAAATCGCACCACTCACACTATATGAATGGGAAGGACTCTGTAAAGCGTTCTTGTACCCTCGTATTGTACATCACTGCACTTTGTATAAACTATGTCAGCTTCATCGACATACCATATCGAAAGTGCCATAACAACTGACCGTTCTGAAATCGTATAGAAGTTTTGCTATCGACTTGTAAATCCACTCCTTCCACCACCCTATTACGCTTCCACTTGGTCACAGCTATTCCTGCTCGGACAGTACTTATGGGTATATACGTTCGTTCCTCATATTATTACATTGATTTACTGTAGAACTCTGCCATACTCCCAACATAGTTGTTTTTCCTGTATATTTACCGTGCATTTTAATCTCGTTATACCGTTATTGCTGCAATAATATTAGTTTTATACATACATATATATATATATATATATTTATTTAAACATATATGTATATATGCGCATAAATATCATGTATATGTATATATATATACATATACATATATAAAACGGGCGCGTGTGGCGCAGTGGTTGGAGTCGCCCAATAGCACACATGGGACCGATCCTCGAGCCACAGGCTAAGCAAGCCTTCCATTCCTCAGGACTTAGAAAATTGGTACCGGACTTGTCTTGGAAGATAGAGCACTGGCTCAATACATCGGTAGGTCGCCGCGAGTCATTGTAAAGGCCAAATATGCATTCATTCACCTCTGATGATGTTTACTGAAGTCGAGTGCATGGCGTATCCCTCAGAGATTGATCAACGCCGAGCGCTTAATCCTTTTCATTATCATTATATATAAGGCATTAACTACCCAGAGTTGATATAGGAACTGCAGTGCAACAAAAGGACCACGAAACAGGCAGGAAGAAGTGTGGCATCCACTAGATAATTCACAGTGCAATTTCGTTGTTGCATGTATCAACCACACTAACGTTCTTAATTCGTCATTACATCAGTCCTCAAAGTTGGGTAACAAAATCTTTATATACATAGGACTAACACGGAAATCAATGCAATAAGGTCCAGACATATACACACAGAGGAGTACACAATGACATGACACTAACAATAACGTAGAAGGTTCTGCGGTAAATTCATGAGATACTTACTTGTATACTTGGACGGTCCGTCTTCACGAGCTGTGCGGACCCCAGCACATGTGCCATTCGTTCCTTTCTCTCGCAATCGTAGTCCATGGTGATGGCCATGTTCGAGCATGGTAGCGATTGCGAGCGATCGTGATCTGTACAACAAGTGCAGCTGCGTGTACAGCGGATCAACTTTGTTTATGAACACGTCCGCCCAACGTGTAGGTGGTCGTCCAAGGGGACGTATGCATTCTCTTGGAGTCCACTCTACTGTTCTTTTCGCCCATCTGCGTCTGTTCTTCTCAATATGTGACCGGTCCATCTATGTTTCGCTGTCGATGTATATTCTCCTGGATCTCGAAGAAGTGACAGATTTCGAAGGTCAGAGCTTGGCATTCCGGCTACATATTGAGAGTGCCGTTTATATTTCAAAAGACATTGCTCAAGCGCTCTGGATGTAGTTAGAAGCACTCTTGACGTAGTTGAAGTACCAGCCCACGTCTTTGCAGCATAATAGAGCGCTGGAGGACTGTAGAATCAAAGAGATGAGCGCGGATTTTCGGATCCTTCAGTTGGTCGGTGGCCTCTTTGAGAGACCCGAATGCGGCCCAAGCTGCTCGCCTTCTTTTAGCTAGTTCCTCCTTCATGTTATTTTCCATGTTCATTGATCGCCCAAAGCAAACGTACGAGTTGGTTTCTTCAATGAGAGAGCCATCCAATTCAATTTTTTCGCCTTCGCACCATGCGTTTTTCATGAACTGGGTCTTCTTTCGGTTTATGCGAAGTCCGATCTTTCTCCCTGCTTCGTTGAGATCGTTGATTCACCTCTGCTTCGCTAGTACTTTTTGAGAATATGACAATGTCGTCGGCAAAACAGCGGTTTGATAGGAATTTTCCATCAATACGTATGCCTTCCTCATCCCAATCGAGTCACTTCATTATCCACTACAGCGCAGCACTGAACAGCTTTGGCGATATTGTGTCGCCCCGTCGAATACCTTTTCCTATGGGTATGGTAAGAGGTCGATGGAAAAGTTGTATTTTCGTGGTGCAGTTCCGATAACAATCGGGCAGAATCCTTATGTAGGACGGATCCACTCAATGGTCGACGAGCGCTGATAGGATTGCATTCATTTCGACACTGTCAAACGCTTTCTCATACTCGACAAAGGTTAGGACTAGAGGCAAGTGGTATTCCCGACAAACTTCGATGACCTGGACACGGTTTGGATGTGGTCCATGTAGCAAAATTCTTTTCGAAATCCTGCTCGCTTGACTGGCTGCGCCTCATCCAATGTCTTTGATATACGCGAGATGATAATCCTCGTTAAGAGCTTGTAGAGTACACTTAACAAGCACATGGGACGATAGTTACGAAGATCCCTTCGGTCTCCTTTCTTGGGCAGGATGACCGTGCGCGACGTCCTCCACTCGTCTGGGATTTTTTCCTTTTGAAAGCAGCCTGTCACAAGATCTGCGAGAAGTAAATGTAAATTGTGGCCTCCAGCTCTGAGGAAATCGGTAATGATATTATCGCGTCCTGGAGCTGTGCCTCTTTTCATGCTTTCTATCGCAACTCGAACCTCCGACGGAAGAATTCCACGTGGTTTTTCTCCAGCAGGGATATTAGTGTGCGGGACGGGGATTATGGAACGAAAAAGCTGGTGTAGATCGTTTCCGCTATTAATTCCATATCTCTCGACGACATTTTTTCAGACTGCTTCTTTTTCCTGCTGCTTCCAGTATTTTTTTCTGCTTGTACCGTTGTAGATCTTCCTGCAAAGCTCTTCTGCAGCTGGAATTTATTAGTAGCCATGTTAAACGTGTTGCAGTATGATCAAGCTTCAGATCCCTTCTGTTTTCCAGCAACTCCTAAGTAGTGATGGAGATGCGATGCGATTTTCTTGCTTGAGGAACTGAGGCGAATTGGACACAGCTTTCAGTCCTTCGACGAGCAGCTCGTAGTCTTCGGTCAGGTATTCTTTAATCTGCCAGTCGCGTTTGGACAGGACTTCGCTCACAATGTTCTTGTCGTATACAACTAGACTTTTTCCTCGTGATCGATGAAGAGAGTTCTTTTCCAGCTTGCGGCTGAATCGAATCTTCGCGCAAAGGCGGTGATCGGAATCAGTACTGAATGACGGAATTACCGATATATCAAGTAGGCACCATCTTCTTTTTGTCAGAATATGGTCGATCTCCGCATGAGTCATACCGCTAGGAGACTCCCATGTCCAGCGGTGGCTTTCTTTCTTCTGGAAAAACGAGTTTCCATGGAGGAGATATGCTGCTGACAGGAGTCCTACGAGACGGTTCCCATTCTCATTTCTTCCTCCTAATCCAAAGTTTCCGATCCTTTATTCGCTCTCGTTGGCCTTTCCTACTCTGGTGTTGAAGCCTCCAACAATATATTTATGATATGTTTTACCATTGCGGATGACTTCCTCCAACTAATAGTAGAACGCATTTAATTCGTTCTCATCAGCTACGTCGGTCGGTGAGTAGCAGTTGATAATAGCGATCTTCTTATGATGCGACAGTTGAAGACGGAGGACGACTATGTGAGGGGAGAGGATCACGTATAAGTCGACGAGATGGACAGTGGAGGTATGGACGACAAACTGGAGGGATGGACGACAAACTCTACCACCGCCATTTCGTGACGGGACCTTTTCTCCACGGATCACAAGGGTCCCGTTGTTTAGTTGGCGTGTGTCGGTCTTCTTGATTTTTGTTCCTTATAATGCAATCACATGAAAGGGCGTGATGGTCGGCGTCTGTGGAGAGTGTTCTGGCATTATACGTGCATAGTAAGAAGCAATCTCCATGGCGTATCGTGCGTGTGTTCGTCAGATCCGGTTCCAGTGACGTCCTGTGTAACCCGAGATTTTCTGGCCTCTCACCGGTCGTCTCACCGCTTGTCGTCATAGACGGGAGCTTGGGAGTCGCTTGAGAGCTTGAGAGACGTCATAGGGAGTTGGTCGGATCGGTCTTTTGTCCGCCAACTGTACGTGGAATGGTAACTGTCTTGAACAACTTCTAGTTTGGATATAACAGTTTATAGACACAATAACGATACAATAATAATAATAATGTGTGATACTTGACGATATGTAAGCTGGGTGGATAAGAGCGGGATTGAAATGGGAACAAGTGATACACTCTTGAAGGAAGCAAGGAGGACACTGGCGTTAGAGTACTGAGGAATTGAGCGATCGGAAGAAGACCGGACGAACGCGGTTAACACTTCAGGAGGAGTTCTATGGGCTGCCTGTATTACTCCTGTAGTGGGTGGAGCTTTGCCAGAGAGAACTAAAGACAGCGCCCCGAGAGAGGTTCTAAAAGTTTTTCTACTAGCTCAATTTGATAGGGCTACATGTGGAAGGGTGCAGGTGTTTGTTCGGAGGCTTTTTGGGACGACAGATGCTTAAAAGCATATTCAGCTGACTGCTGCTGATTCCCTTTCCAGCCACCTGCGAGGCAATTGCATGAAATGCATGCTAAGAGACGATTTACAGAATATGCAAGAATAGATGTATGACGATTACAGATAGACAGGTGTTGTAGAAGGCATAAGATGACATAGAAATAGGAACTATTTAAGAATAGTTACTATACTTTCCGGGGCTAACGCATTCACCACTACACTATGCATGGCCTTCGTTTTGCCTTTCTCTCAGCTAGTTTTAATTCGGTTAAGCTGAGGCTGTAATCGAAATCACAATGTTAACTTTTTATTTACTGTCTTCTACAATTATTCACGACAGGTCATTATGTCAAATACTACCACAGTGGTGCTGAGATGTTTGCAAAACTCCGGATCGCAAGTGTCTGCGGTGCGGATCGACCATGCTATTACACTTTCCTGGGGCTAATGCTTTCACCACCACACCATGCTGGTCCTTCTTTTCCCTTTTTCTTGGTTAGTTTTCAATCTAACAATGCCATCAGCAATCAACTCTCGTCGAGCCGTGGATGTGCTCTATGAGCCGACGATCAACCAGAATCGCGAAAGCATTAGTCGGCTTTTTTGAAACATGAAACTTAAAGTGTCGGTCAAGCTATTTCTAGTACAAAATGGAAACAAAGCGTGCAGCTCACCAACATTTAAAATATTTAGTGACTTTATGCACGTAGCACATGAACTTTTCATATGATGTGATAGTTGTGATAGTTAGCAACCTGCCATTAAGACTAACCATTATCGATGAATAAAGCACCGAAAAACGATGAGTAAAAGTTGTATAACGGCCTCGTGTGAGCTGAGCAATCTCAAGAAATATGTCGATCATTCACACCGAACCTAGATGAAAGATGATTCGGTCAGGCGTCAGTGGTTTACTCACAACTGCTTTTTCGATTTTCAAGAGCGAAATTCCTTTACGCTATGGATAGGTCTCCAAGATGATTAGAAGTCCCATTGCTCATAGTGGTTCTGAATTTGTATAACTGAAGCGGAAACAGTTATGATATGAGTGCGTAAGAATAGTCTCCAAAATCATTTGAACATTAGGTGGCAAATATCTGGAGAGTTTACACACATTTAACTCTTTCGCATTGAAAAAAACCGACTTTCATATAAGCAGCTTTCACTTGGGAAAATTTTCTGACTGAAAACTAGGCCAAATGGCAGAAAATTCCGTTATCAATTTCCTGCGCCTTACAAATTTTCTATGTTTGAAGTGAAACAAGAAGAATAAAGTGATAATGCCGGCTTCCGACTTCAGATTATACTCTGTGTGAACTTCATTTGACAGGCGCAGTCGCCAATTCCCGACCAAGATTGTGACGCCTCACCGTACCAATTTACAGAATTCTCACTGTGAATTCATGAACAACAAAATGAGTGGAATCGACTGCCATAACTTTTGCCTAGTCAATAAGGGTGGATCACTTCCCTAACATCTAGTCAACGCTCCTAAAACGAGTGTACTACAACCGGATGAAGGGTTTCTTCAGTTGAACAGCACATTATGTTCGTTTTTTATGCGTTTTCTTCATAGGTAAATGAACGAAGTGAATGACAATTCTTCAGCCATACAATTTACGAGGTGAATAACTGTCAGTGACGAAACCCTCACACTTATGCCAGCAAAAGCTGCCCCACTTGCTGCTGCTCTCTCATGCTCACCCTCCCCAAACGGTCTCCGTCTTGTTGCAGGGTCAGTGATCACTCGCTTGCAGCTCGCAATCTCCGTCTACGATTGATTGCAACGCTGACGAGTCACTCTGAACTCTCGCATGTCTTTCAAATTCTTAAATCAGATCCAAATGGCACTTAAAATCGCTAGCTTAAGCAAAAACATCTCTACCAGCTGCTACCGATATTTAGGAATTTACTCTCTATCTAATAGTGAGCATTTTCCATGTAGCAAATCCCACTGCAGACTTTTCTCTAATCGTGGCATTGATCCGTAATGCACCATTTTTATGATGGGCAAAGGTTAGCTGTTATATTATGTTATTACTAAAGCGTTTATTCGTTCACGACAGTCGACGTTTCGGCGTTTTCTGCTTCTTCAGAGTCTGGAAAGGTCAAATTGGGACGTTATTTACTCAGCTAAACACTTTCATAACCTCAACAGATGAAACCCAATGGATACATATTCTTTCGCTCACAAAGAAAATTATGAAGTATTTTCTGTCTTTATCACTTTTTCTCTGTCTTCATCTGCAACTCTGACGTACATTGTCCTTTGTCCTTGTCATGTATTTTTTAAACACTGTTAAGTATAAACTTTCTACTCTTATCAGATGAACTTTGTATGTAAGCCACACACTTCTTGTCTGATTAATACATTTGCGTGAGCGGAGCTTTTTGTATGTTTTGTTATTCAAGGCGCTTTCGCACGCATACCGTAGTACGGATATAAAAGGTTTTTTATGAGAACAGTCCTTCTTTGTTTGATGTATCCTTTTTCCAACGTGTTCACGCACAATGAATAAATTCTGTCGGCTGAAATGAGTGGAAACTCACAAGCAGTGCCGCAACTTCGCATACTCGGACAGAAATATTAGTAGATCCTCTTTACTCATCGTTCTATTCGCTTAGGTATTGTTCCTAAGGTTATTGTCCCCTTGCTGCTGTTTTCCTCTGTGTAGTGGAATTCAGCTGTTCAGCTGTCTATTCACATAATTCCCATTAATCACTGTGATATATTACGTTCATTACTGCCCTAATAATTACGGATGGAAAAGAGCTGTTTTTGGTTCCACATATAGTTTCTGCAATATCAACCTCATTATAATAGTGTTGAACAAGCGCGTGTGGCGCAGTGGTTGGAGGCGTCCTACAACACTTATGGGATCGATCCTCGCGCCCTGGCCCACCAAGCCTTTCATCCATCCGGCGTCAGCAAATTGAAACCAGACTTTCAGGTAAGATAACATCCCTGGCTCAATACATCGGTAGGCCAGTGCGAGTCATTGTAAAGGCCAGATATGCATTCAGTCACCTCCAAACGATGTTTAATGAAGCAATGCATGGCGCATCCCTCGGTGTTTGATCAACGCCGAGAGCTTTCTTTCATCCGCTATAACAGCGTTACATTAGTATACTGCTTATGTAGAGATTTCATTACCATCAGTTTGGATATGATCTGTGAGTGTGACGAAAATGCGTGAAAAGTCGTACAAGGATAAGCATTGTTTGTTGAAGCAGTTGCACACAGCCATCACATTTCATACTTCCTCGTGCCTCGGTCGATGAGGTCAACACGAACCCTCTGCATTTCGCACTGCAATGATCTCTACTTCATGACAAAATCACAACAAAAACAAATCAAAGGATGGTCTTATGAAATGACTAAGCAGCCCATGAAACCTATCGACTAGCTGTATTCTGGCGGAAACCACTGTCAAAATCACGATTCGAACGATTATGGAACGATTTATTAGAACGGTTCGCGTGGTAGAACAACAGCTGTTTTACACATTCCAAGCATTGTACACTTCGCTCAAACAATTTTAATTTTGCAATCTGTGTTCTTGTATATTGCTTACGGTCTGTATAGCTTACAACTACTATAAACTATGTAGAAATGAAGGCATGTGTAGGTGAACCACAGAGAAAGAAGAATTAGCGTGCCATTTGCTAGTTCTCTTGAAATACGGAGATTAGGAAACAGTCTGGCTTCTTGTGTCCATAAAGCGCTCTACCTGATCGTGTATTTCTATCACCTGCTGTCTTCATATGATGGCGGAAAGGGTAGCA